GGGGTGGAGTCTCCATTCTCCAGGGCGTAACAGCTGTTGTGAGAGCGCATCGGCTGCACGATTGAGCGTGCCTGGGACGTGAATGGCGCGCAGCGATTTCAGCCGCGGGTGACTCCAGAGGAGCAGACGGCGGGCGAGCTGAGACATGCGGCGAGAGCGCATACCCCCCATGCGGTTGATATACGCCGCCGCCGCCGTACTGTCCGTCCTGACCAGCACGTGTTGCCGCTCCAGCACCGGTAAAAAGCGGTGGAGAGCGAGGAACACTGCCAACAGCTCTAGGCGATTGATATGCCAATGCAGCTGGGCACCCTTCCAGAGGCCCGCAGCCGCATGCCCGCGACACACGGCCCCCCAACCCGTGTTGGAAGCGTCTGTTGAAACAACAACATGGCTGGACGCCTGTCCTAGAGGCACACCGGCCTGTAGGAACGAGGGGTCGTTCCAAGGGCTGAGGGCGCGGCGACACAGCGCAGTAACCGAGACCCGGTGTGTGCCCGCGTGCCATGCGCGTCTGGGGACCCGATCGTGAAGCCAGTGCTGAAGTGGTCTCATATGGAGCAACCCGAGCGGCGTGACGGCGGCTGCGGATGCCATATGCCCCAGGAGCCTCTGAAAGAACTTCAGTGGGACCACTAGTTTGCTGTCGAGCTCCCTCAGACAGTTCAGCAACAGGCGAGCGCGTTCCTCGGAGAGGTGCGCTACCATGGTGATCGAGTCCAGCTCCATCCCGAGAAAAGAAATCCTCTGCACGGGAGCGAGTTTGCTCTTTTCTCGGTTGACCTGAAGCCCCAGTAGGCGGAGATGCCGAAGCACCTTGTCCCTGTGCATAATCAATTGCTCCCGCGAGTGGGCTAAAATCAGCCAGTCGTCGAGATAATGGAGTATGCGAATGCCCGCGAGCCGAAGGGGCGCTAGGGCACCCTCCGCGAGTTTGGTGAAGACCCGCGGAGACAGAGAGAGCCCGAAGGGGAGGACCTTGTACTGCCACGCTCGACCCTCGAACGCAAACCGCAGAAATTGGCGGTGGCGTGGAAGAATGGAGACATGGAAATACGCGTCCTTCAGGTCTATGGCTGCAAACCAATCCCGAGGACGAACGCATTGGAGAATGCGCCTCTGCGTGAGCATTCTGAACGGCAGCTTGTGCAGACAGCGGTTCAAAACGCGCAGATCTAGGATTGGCCGTGACCCACCGCTCTTTTTGGGTACAATGAAGTATGGGCTGTAAAACCCACTCTCCATCTCGGCTGGAGGAACCGGCTCGATTGCACCCTTCGCCAGGAGGGCAGCAATCTCCTCTCGCAAGACAGGGGCGGACAGGGGGTTGACCCTGGAGAAATACACGCCCGTAAACTTGGGGGGCCGTTTCGCGAACTGAATCGCGTAACCGAGTCTGATTGTGCGTATGAGCCACCGCGAGGGGCTGGCCCGCGCTAACCAGGCAGGCAGAGCCCTCGCTAATGGAGTCATCGCTACAATCGCTGACGTACCAGCGGTGGGGCAGCGCGGAGTGGGTGTGCTGATCCGGGAAGCACGAGGGTCCCGCGGAAGAGCTGGAGGAGAGCGATTCGCTCTGGCTCCGCACCCTGACTCCGGAGAGGGGGCTGGAGGGCTGAGGGAAGGGAGACCGTCCCCCCAGCGCTCGTGAGCCACTGGCGAAGCACGTAGAGTCTGCGAGCCGGAAGGCAGCGCGTCCCGGACTGGCAGAACTCGTGCAGTCACATCCGGGGAAGGGAAAAAGTGCTCTTTTACTGATGTTTTGGTGGCACTGAAAAGTACCGTTGTTATCGGGGCCCCGCCCTCCAGCGGGGAAAGAGCAAGTTTCCTCTTCTCCGGATGGCCTGTCTCAGGGACGCTTCGCGGTCCGTTTACCGGACTTAACGGCGCCCTGGGCAGGAGGGGCTGCCTGCTTTTGAGGTGAACGCCGCGCCCGCTTGGCCGGAGGCGCAGGCGGGGGCGGGGCAGCACTCGTTGGCGGGCGCCCTCGGCGAGGAACAGCGGAGGTGGATGGCTCGGCGGGCGGAGCGGGCTTACGGCCACGCCGATAGATGACATTGCCCATCGCATCCGACTGCTCTTTCACCGCCTTGAATTCCTGGGTGAATTCACCGACGGTGTCGCCGAACAGGCCAGCCTGGGATATGGGCGAGTCAAGAAAGCGAACTTTGTCAACGTCGCGCATATCGGCCAGGTTTAGCCAGAGGTGGCGTTCCTGAACCACAAGTGTGGACATCGTCCTCCCCAGCGCACACGCGGCGGACTTAGTAGTCCGAAGAGCATAGTCGGTCGCGGTGCGCAGCTCATGTAATAAGCTTGGGTTGGACCCGCCCTCGTGCAGCTCGGCCAGCGCCTGCGCTTGGTAGCGCTGGTAGGTGGCCATCGCGTGCAAAGCAGAAGCAGCCTGGCCCGCAGCCTTATAAGCTCTGGCTCCGAGGGAGGCAGACAACCTACAGGCTTTGGACGGGAGGCGGGGCAAACCCCGCCACGTAGAGGCGCCGCGCGGACAAAGATTGACCGCGATAGCGCGCTCCACTGACGGGATCGCCTCATACCCCCTGGCAGCTCCGCCGTCAAGGGCGGTGAGGGCGGAGGCACTCGCAGCACGGGCAGAGAAAGGTGCCCTCCAGGACTGCGTGAGCCTACTGTGCACTTCCGGGAAGAAGGGGACGAGAGGCTTCGAAGGCTTCGCCTTCTGGTCCTCTACGTAGCACCCATCTAGTCGGTCCGGCCGCGGAGCTGGGGGATAAACCATCTCCAACCCCACGGCCGAAGCAGCCCGGGAAAGCACGGCTAACATGTCCGCTTCAGGATCCGATTTGACAGCGCTCACCTGCCCGGAGGGGGCGAGCGGGTCCGGATCTTCGTCGGACAGTGAAAGCCCACCCTCCGATGCCGCGGAGGACATCTGATCTCCGGTGTCAGCGAGTGTGAGAGCTACCATCTGGTTAGACGGATCACTCTCACCACCCGAAGCTTGGATGGAGCGCCGTGAGGAGCGAGAGGTCCGCGAGCCCGTGGGCGGCGGATTAGCTCCCGCTGAAACCCTCAGATCTGCCCGAGCGCCCGCTGCTTTTTTAGAGCAGGAGGCAACTGGGGTGGCTCGCTCTCTTGCGAAAGTTAGCCGCGATCTTAGCTGTGCAACGGTCATGGCATCGCAATGACGACATGAACCGCCCGCGAGCACCGCATTAACATGCTGGACCCCCAAACATGCAATGCAGTGATCGTGTCCATCATCCGGAGCCAGGAAACCCCCGCATCCAGAAACGCACAGTCGGAGCGCCATCCTGAAAAGGACGTGCTGCACGACTGTGTTGCTCTTTTAGGAAAGTTGCAACTATACGCACCGCTCTGGAGGACCGGACCCAAAGAACCGCAGGCAAGGGAGTAACCCAGCTCGACCGTCTGCCACCGCGAAGACCCACTCTGGACCGGGAGACACACTCGTTCGCTCTGAAGTGCTGATCAGCAAGAGGAACCCTCATCGACTCACTCAGAAAGGATCTGAAGCGAAAAGGATGGCGTCTGCTGGCTTCAGGTGTGCTTATATGCTGAGATAATTGCAGATGTCGCACACCTGCGCAAGCTTACGCTGCCAATTAATTTCATTCATTGGCCCGTTCAATACTCTCCAGATAAGCGGCTTCTGATCCGAATCCTCCCATTCATGGCACTGAAGTTCCCCAACCGAAGGGGAACTCAAAAACCTGCATACACCCCAAAAATGGCCAAAATTTATGTTTGTTATAGGTTCTGGAAGTGGGTGTGGCAAAATGACTCGACAGCGCTACCTATTCAGGTTTGACGAACTGGCTCCCGAGCTACATCAAACATGCCAATAGCTACAAAAAAGTCTCTTGGAACGAAATCTCAAACTCAACAGGCAGTTTGATATTTTTAACTTCCTGTGCAGAAAAAGTGGCGTTTTTGCCATTTTCACGCTTTGTATTTGAACAAACTCCTCCTAGGGATTTTATCCTATCAATACCAAAATTAGGTATTGTCATCAAAAGACCTTGACGATGTTAAGTTGTGAAGATCTAGAGTTTTTGTCGAGGGCCGTGTCTGTGGCGGCCTACCAAACTTATAATTCAGGCATGCATTGTCCAATCTGCCTCAAAATTCCAACGTACGATAAGAGTCCTGACCTAAAGACGTTTACATGCCAATATCCAGTTACAGTTATAGCACCACCTGATCTAGAGTTTTCGCCGATGACAGGTTAATGTTGGCCTGACAAACCTCTTTTTTCGCCATGGAAAAAGCCAAAGTGTTTCGCCATGGAATAGGAAGTACATATAAATCAAACACACAATTACTGATCTGCCTACAACTTCACATGGTTGATAAAATTCCTCTCTTGAAGACATCTACATTCCAATATTGAGTCACAGTTATTGCACCACAGGAGGAAGTTTGGCATAAAACTATGATTTTCTCAGGTTATATATATATATATATATATATATATATCAGCTTAAATTAATAATGTCCACGGTTCTCTGTCATCAAAAGGCCACCGGGCGTGAGGTCCCTTTCATTCCTGCTTGCAGCTTCAATATTATAGATATTCAATATTTTATATAACTCATCTGCATCACTCCTACTTACCGTGACAACAACCAATACTTTTTGAACATTAAGTGCAGGTTGTGTGTGCACAGTGCATGTGTTGATGTGTGTTTATGTGTACCTGGGTGTGTCTGTCTCACAGCACTTAATAGTGTATACAGTGTGCACCACTATAAATAGTCAACACTCAACAAAAGACACTTGACTGGTTTGGACCAGGTGTCATTCAGGAATGCAAAATACCCACAAATCAGCATAATAGTTAAAACCCTTATTGTCCTGCTTCTCACTTTCAGTATTTGGCCGCAGGTTTCCACAGCACTTTCTGCTGAATTTCTTCAGGCATTGTTGCAAGACAAAAGCTTTTAGTCGAAATTCGATAGACAATGCTATAACTCATTTGTGTGTGTTTGGTGGAGGGTTACCTGAACAACGGACGCCCTGAGCGATGAGACCCCACATGAAGTTAGCGCAGTATTCACACCAGTGCGGCCCCCTGAACGTGTGCACCTGCACCAAAAACACAGCAATAACTGAAAGTCAAAACACAGACTATATATACACCAAGTTTTTGTGTAAATAAAAACTAATGGCTCAAATTGTTGTGTAGGTTTGTTACAAAAACCTAATTACTGATTACATCATTAAAATTTTATTTAAATAACTTTTCTAATTACTTTGTCTTAAAGGAAAGTTAATTACACAATAAGTCATTTGATAACTATGTAAAATCCATATTAATCTCAATGCATACGCAACAGACATTACACTTTTAATTCTTTCAGTTTGAGTCAAACAGTAAAAAATCGTTCAAAACATACTTATTTCACAACAAAAGTTCTGTCTGGTTCTAGAATCTGATTATTGCTGATAGCCATGCAATATAACAGCTCTAGCTCAGCTTCTTCACCCTTGCGTATTACTTCACCCGCATGACAAGACAACAGGCAGAAAAATAAGCTCAATACAGTTAGACAAATATTGCAGCTGTTGGACAACATAATGTACTTTTGAGGCTTTTTGGGCCATAATTTAGTAGTTAAGACTGCAACTATGCAGTATATTTATAAGTATAGTGTCTTTTTAAAATATTTATAATTTCTGAGATGCGGTATGTCAGCAACCATCAGCCTTTCATACTGAGCAAAGCAAAGATGGTTGCGCCACAAGGTGGCAACAGAGACTACATAATAAACCTCTAAGAGGTAAAGACTGTGTTTTCGTATTTCAAACAACAGCTGAACAAATTATTATAAAACTGATAAGTGACACTCTAAGTCAACCTCTCTCATTTGTATGTTGTAGTCCATTATTTTTAACATAGTAATCTGATAGTGGTTGCTTTGCTATTGCTTTGGCTTTTTCGGTGTTAATTAGTGTGATCTCTCGATTGCAACAGAGAAGGCCTTGTCCACATAAACATGAGAATTTCCACATATAAAATAGAGTACTGGCAACTGAAACTTTTTTAAAACTCTGACCAGAGTGAAGATTTACCAAAACTCCAGGTACAGTGTGGTCGTGCGGACATTACATGCAGTTTTTTCAGCATGCCCTTAGCATGCATCACAGTGCATTTTGACATTTTCATGTGGACAGAGATTTTTGTTTTAAAACAGAGATGATTCTAACACTGATTCTAAAATATCTGTGTGCATGTAAACATGGACATGACCTTGAACTAACAAAACAATTAACAAAATGAACTAAAACTTAAATAAACTAATACATAAATAAAAAGCACAGTTAAAAAATAAATAAATAATAAAAAATTAAAAACCTTACCTTGACACACCTACACAACCCTATTTATACTCTTTCATTTATAAACCCTTTACACTCTCTAATCCCACTATGGAAGAAAACATTTTGCAGAATTACATTTTCTAAATCTTTCATTCTGCAAGATTTATCAGGTATTTTCCTCATGAGGACCAGAACATTGTCCCCACAAGATCAAAAACAACTGGCTTTAATATATATTTAAGGACATTGTCATACCCTGTAAAAAATATCTGTTAATTAACAAGTTTTTCCATTTATTTATGGTTGTAAATTGCATTATGGGACCTTGATCTTTGCTCTGAAAATTCATACAAAGTTCATACAAAGTTACTTTTCTCAACATTTTAGCCGTTTGAAACAATATTGTAATACAAAATAATATATAGAGATATAAGTCGGTAAAATAACAACATTTACAGAGTTTATTAGAAGTATTTAAACCATTATATACAACACCAACTCATACAAAATATCACTTTTACTTGTTTACTTTTTAATGTTCAAAGTTGTTCGATCTCTCACTGTACTCTTCAGCTAGCCGAAATCACTCTCATTCAGACAAGATTAACTCTGGAATTGAGTGAGATATTCATTTATTTTTTCCCAGAAGAATTGACAATTTAAATAAGAATCAAGAGTGACACTTAGCTGATGATTGATTATAAAGCGTTTATGGCATGCTGTCCCAGGATAGAGCCCTGAGCTTATAAGATCTTCAAGCCCCTGGGCTCTCTCCTGTTTGTAGACGAGAGGGGAGTTTGAGCTCAAGTAGATCTCGAGAACTCCCCTGCTTATTTATGACTAATGGCAATTAGGGATTGGTAATTAAGAGCTCATCAATGGTGCCAATTTGGTTTGGTCAATTCACCTATATGACATGTCTTTGGACTGTGGAGGAAAATGGAAAACCCGGGGGAAACCCATTCGAGTACAAGGAGAACATGTAAAATCTACAAGGAAACGTCTACTGGCCAAGTAGGGATTTGAACCAATGACATTTCTTGCTGTGAGGCAACCGTGTTGTCAAGGAAAAAGAGGGAGGAGTAGGGGGGATTCTTCAAGACGAAGGTAACTAAGGTAAGAAACTCTATTTATAGTAAGGTAAAAATAATCTAATTGATGAATGGTGCAAATGCAGGACCAGCTGTGGTCAATCATAAGCATGTGATCCTCTCAAAATTATTCATTCAAAAATTTGTATTTTTTTGGTTTAGTCCCTTTTTTAATCCGGGATCGTCAAAGCGAAATGAACCGGCAACTTATCCAACATATGTTTTATGCAGCGGATGCCTTTCTAGCTGCAACCCACCACTGGGAAACATCCATACACACTCATTCACACTCATTCACTACAGACAATTTAGCTTACCTAATTCATATGCACCACATATTTTTGGACTTGTGGGGGAAACCGGAGCACCCGGAGGAAACCCATGCCCACACAGGGAGAACATGCAAATTCCACACAAAAATGCCAAGTGACCCAGCTGGGGCTTGAACAAGTGACCTTCTTGCTATAAGGCAATTGTGCTACCCACTGCGCCGCTGTGCTGCCCCCTCTCTCGAAATTATTTTTATAAATAAACTTTATTTAAATCTAAATTTACCAGTATTTTTTTTACTAACATTTTTTAAAATTTAATTTCAATAACAAAATACCAACCAAATATAAAACAAAGAAATAAGCAGAAATATATAAACTAAACACAATGAAAAAAATACTAAACAAAATGTGTATTTAATTAAAATTTTACTTTACTACAAAAATAGAAACAAAAAAAAACTAAATATGAAACAAACAAAACAAAAAATGAAAAATAAATAAAGCAAAAATTATTATAAAACAAGAAAAGATACTAAATAAAACACATACTTAAAAATAAAGCTAAAATTAAACAATTAATGTACAACAACTGAAAAAAAGAAAAGAAAAGAAGCACAAAAAATACCACAAAACAGCATTTAATTTCAGGCTAATTTACTTAACTAAACTAATAATAATTAAATATAAAACAAAACATAAACAACACATAAAACCTGCCCACCTGCTCCAATGCAATAATCAAAGAACTTCAGGCAAGGGCAGAGGAATGTGGCTCAGATTAAAACTGGTTTTTGTTTGAAAAATGACAGCCAGTGACGTCTGAAGCTGTTGTCTGAAGCTCTATAAAGGGTCATGGAAAGATTCAAGAGAGTGAGAAAGCACTCGAGGGTCAGTTTGTTGACAGGGACAAATCTGCTGCAAGTCAAAGCTCTGAAGTAATAATCAGGACTCGAGGCTGCTACTGAACGCCTATTGAAATAGGGTGTTGTTATAAATTTTGACATTTATAACACATATGAGTCAGATTACAGGACTGCTGGGAAAAAATTATGTGTCTGGCATCTGTTACAAAGCTGCCGACAGTCACACATAAAGCATGTTCTCATAAACGCCCTTGTGCTGTCAAAACACTTCGCAGGGACGGACAAAAGACACACTTTGGCACAAAGCCCAAGGGTATGAATGATGAAATGTAAATATCATAATGAGAATCCTCTTCATCTTTATATTGAACTACTGATGATTCTGAAACGTACTGAACTGCCTGCATTCTGACTGAACGTCACCTTATTTGTGATATGTGATTTGCAACATGCATTTGTCAAAAACTAATTAATTAATTAATTAATTAACTGCAACTAATTAATTTAATTTAATTTAATTTAATTTAATTTAATTTAATTTAATTTAATTTAATTTAAGTTAATTTAATTTAATTTAATTTAATTTAATTTAATTTTTACAGTCAGGTTTACATTAGATTAGCTCTTTTTATTTTAATATTTTATTTTCAGTTTTATATTGTTTTTGTACAACAATAAGCTCATTCTAGTTCTCAATGTATTTGATTTAATTATTATTTATTTAATTAATTATTAATTTAATTATTAATGCATTATTTATTGTTTTTATTTTCTGCACCTTGCAATAGATAAAAGCTCATAATCTCATAAAATCACATATCACTGAATATGCATAACATACTTACATACTTGACCAAAACAAGATATATTTTATAAACTACAGCACACAATACTACAGCAGACAAGGAACTCAATAGTCTGTCCTTTTTATTTTTTATATTTTGCATTTTACATTATTTACATTTTTATTTAGTTATATTAATTTATATATATATATATATATATATATATATATATATATATATATATATATATATATATATACACACACACATATATATATATATATATATATATATATATATATATATATATATATATATATATATATATTTTTTTTTTATTAATTTAGTTTAACATTTTATTTTATTAAATTTAAAATGTCATATTTTATTTTTTATTTATTAGTATTTAGTTTTAATTTAATTAACATTTTTATTTTAATTAGATATTTTATAATATTAATTATTTTATAAAAAATATTTAATTCTTTATTTTTAATTGAATTTAAAAAATACATTTTATATTTTATTTTATTCTATTTAATATTATATATAATTTTTTATTTTACTGAAATTTAATTTAATTGTATGTTTTTTTTTTATTATATTTGTATGATATTTTATATTATTTAATATGGAGCAACACAGTGGTGCAGTGGGTAGCGCTGTCGCCTCATAGTAAGAAGGTCGCCTGGCATTTCTGTGTGCAGTTTGCATGTTCTCCCCGTGTTCATGTGGGTTTTTGCGAGCCAGGGC